CAAAATGAGTTAACAACAAATCTCATTTCCTCATATTGTTGCTTTTTGTTTCTGTCCTATTGAATTGGCTTTCCCTTTGAGCACAGGCTATCTTCTGTGCATGTTCAACAAAGGGAATATTCTGCACAACAGAGTAATCAGTAACTTACATCACCATTCCTGTAAAGAACATCTGTTTATTTTTTAGAACTGCCCATGGAAACAGATGTATAGTCTGTGCACATGTTTTCTCTTGAGATCAGGAGCCCTCTGTACGTGCAGAAAACATCAAGTGGAAAAATTAGGGATGCTTATCTGTTCAATGTCATAGTTTTGTGATAGCATTTGGTCACACGATTAGGACGATTTGTTGAGCTGCTGTCAGACTGTATTCAACGCAAACTGCCTCTAAACACGCACGTTCATTCAGTGATTTAGGAGCATTTGGCGAATTCCATGCATGCGTATGACTAAACCACCGCAGCCAATCACAGGCCAGAGTGAATAAAGAGGCTGTCATCAGCTTGGCTCTCACTTGGCCTTTCACATAACTGCTCATTGACCTCACTGGAAGGCAATCAGACCCTTTCTCACCCCATTTGGCATCATTTCTCCGTTCAGAAGATTATCTCGTTTCATCATTGCATACAATGGAAGTAAATTTACTCCGTCCTCTGCTTTGACAAACAAACCGTGCACAAGGTAAGGCAAGTATAGTCATGGACAGGATCAACAGCAAATCCCAAATAGGACGCTCTCCTCTGACCCCACCACCCTGACCACTATGAAAAATACAAAACATGTGTATATATATATATCAGTGAAACCAAGGGGGGGAAGTCAACACCTAACTGAAAGCCCACAAGTCACCATTAAATTGAGTGGATGTAGACTACAGACACGTTGATTCATGTGGACAGGCTCTGAAACAATCCTAGAAAAAGGCTCCTGCCTCTAAAGAGTCTGTTTACCCTTTGAGCGTAAATGCAATGTGTTTTTTTCTACCTGGAGGAAGAACTTAGCAATGCTGATCCACAGAAGGACAGGAGATTTCAAGCAAGAATTTTCTAAGTTAAACACCATAATCTGACCATGGAAATAGATTATGTGGAGCAAGAAGCCTGCATCTAAGCTTCAGCGTCTTCTCAAGGAGAGGCAAGTCATTTCTGGGTTTACTGAGTGAAGAAAAATCCTTTCATAAATAAGTGTCTACGAGAATGTGAACTCATGCGTGGTGCTGTTATCTTTTTTGTTTTGTATCTTTATTTGTTTTTTTTTTTTCTTTATTTAATGCAAACATAAATCATTCAGTCAGCCTCTGTAACACACTCAGGCTTAGTCATTATTCTCAAATGTACAAATGTGTTACAGACTGTAAGAATAATGCATCTGTTTTTCTTAAGGCAAGAGCAGCTCACGTGGAAAAACCATATGTTTGTATATGACTTAGCAACTAACAGTTTCCCAGCAAATTAACTCGAGGATGTGTGTATGCCAGTCGCCTGTATGTGCAATAGAGGAAGACCAAGAGAAACAAGCAGACTGAAACATATAGGAGCTAAACAAAAGCTCACACACCAGCTGGGTCCACGGTTAACACACTGCAGGGCTTTTTTTTTTTTTTTTAAATCAGATGGCAGCTATGCATCTTGTGATAACACTGTACAGTATGTGTCTATATAAAAACAGCACTGTGCTTCCTACATTACAACCAAGGAGAGAATAAACACAGCTTTAATGTACTTTAATTGTAATTAAGCCACATTAATTAAACAGAATGACTGTTTTTCTGATTTCAAGTCAACATTGACATTCAAGAAAAGTAGAGCAAGGATGGAAGACTTCAAAAAATCAAATAGCTCCAGCTACACTGTGTGTGGTACAACCTCACATACCTCCTCTAAACCTTCACTCTAACACACCACTTAGGACACTGGCTGCCTGCCAGCAATGAGCTATATAGTAATTATGGGCCCTCATTTGAGAAAACATCAGTAAGATAGATGAAAGCCATCAAGTGAGTTGTGAAAAGTCTGAGCTGAAGTTTTGTGACTAACAAGATCGAGGAGAATCCGAAATGGTGGCGAGGTCAAGGTTGGAAGAAATTAGTGGAAAACTTTGCAGCGATCAACAGAGTAATAGGGATCATCAGGAAGAAGTGTAACCCAGTTTAACTGACCAAACACCTCATCTTTGCATTTCAGCCCCTTTCTCCTTTTGTTTGAGCATCGCAGTTAGAAAAGGCTTGTTTGTGTTAATATTATGTTAAAGTTTACATCCATCATATGGTGGTACTAAAGCAAATGCATTAATTGATTTTGTTTATCTTTTCTCAAGTTACAGGTTTAATTATTTGTTTCTTTGTTCATACTTACCATTCTTTGTTCATTTGATCTGGTTCACCATGTAGGACAAGTGTTTGGGAGTGGGCCGCCCAGCACTTCCTGAATTTAGGTGACATCACTCTGGGCCAGACCAACTGGAGGGTGTGTTTTTTTTCTTTCTTTACCAATGTTTCTTTTCTATTATAATGCATCATTCAGAAGAGACTTTAAATGTTCAGCTCATATGGAAACATTTCGAAATGCCAGGTTGTAGTTTGTATGGTGATGTTGTTTGCAGTTTTGTTTGCATCCAGGTTTTAGAGTAGGTCAGCATGCTGTCAGATGGTAGAGCTGAAGTGATGAAGGTGTGAATTAAGCACCATATATGTAGAGTTGAGATTCTGCTTTCTTGAGATAGGGGTGAGGCTATGTCAAAACATGTGCCTTTGTGTGAGTAGTTAATTTTTTCCTTGCAATTGTTTTCTTGTATGGATTTGTTACTTTGGGGCTGCAAGGTGGAGCGGTGGTTAGCACCGTTGCCTCGCAGCAAGAAGGTCACTGGTTCGCGTCCCAGTGAGGACACCCGGGATCTTTCTGCGTGGAGTTTGCATGTTCTCCCCGTGCAGTGTGGGTTCTCTCCGGGTTCTCTGGCTTCCTCCCACACAGTCCAANGGTGATGTTGTTTGCAGTTTTGTTTGCATCCAGGTTTTAGAGTAGGTCAGCATGCTGTCAGATGGTAGAGCTGAAGTGATGAAGGCGTGAATTGAGCACCATATATGTAGAGTTAAGATTCTGCTTTCTTGAGATAAGGGTGAGGCTATGTCAAAACATGTGCCTTTGTGTGAGTAGTTAATTTTTTCCTTTCAATTGTTTTCTTGTATGGATTTGTTACTTTGGGGCTGCAGGGTGGCGCAGTTGGTTAGCACCGTTGCCTCGCAGCGAGAAGGTCACTGGTTCGCGTCCCAGTGAGGACACCCGGGATCTTTCTGCGTGGAGTTTGCATGTTCTCTCCGGGTTCTCTGGCTTCCTCCCACAAGTCCAAAAACATGTTGAGGTTAATTGGTGATTCTAAATTGTCCGTAGGTGAGAATGTGAGTGTGCTTGGTTGTCTGTCTCTAAGTGTAGCCCTGTCCAGGGTGTCTCCTGCCTTCACCCTAAGTCAGCTGGGATAGACTCCAGCCTCCCCGCAACCCTAGTGAGGATTAATCGGTGTATAGATAATGGATGGATGTTATGGCAGGTATTTGGTAAGATGACAACTGACTCCCAAAAAGCTCTTAAATATTCTAATGGGTTTCAGATAAATCACCTTCTTGCTGAGAAGGAAAGTCCCAGGTGTGCAAACGCTTTAGTTTACTTGAAATGTAGTTCAGATGAAGTAGCAACCTCCAGGGCTGACCACTGAAGTCGAGATGAAAGTGCCAAAAACTGCAGTTTTTCATATGGCTACTTGAGGCTGGCACCAAAAGCGATTCAGTCCTCATAGACCCTCATGTTAAAATGCCCACCTTTATAAAACTAAAAGTGTTTGCAGTCTGGTTAAAAAAAGTGTTTTACTCCCTATAGCTTCAGATTCATGATAATGGTACTGGGATGAATTTATAGAAAATTCCTTAGTTTAAATTATAGTAAGGATTAAAAATGATGCATAATTAATGGACACTTTGACTAACAGGTAAGTTCAGTCCCATGACTGTCAACAGCCCGCCTCAGCTCCACTCACCCTCCTTCTGTTTGCTCATGGTTGAATTAGGAGGAACCACACCACTGAGCATTAAAACCACTCTTCAGGAGACTTGTGGTTGACATTACAGAGGGTTCGTCCATCTTCATATACAGTCTATGGTAGAGGTGTAGCAGTGTCAGTCAGCAATGTCATCGACTGGTAGTGCTCCTCAGTTTCAGGCATCGCTGATAACTTCTGACAGCCGTGAGCACTACGCTGTCTTCCATCACTAACACTCCTCTTCCTTCACCAGGACTTGCGCTCAGTCATCCAACTAATGAAAAAGCCTGGAACCCACAGTCGGCCAAACACCCCCACACAAACTCACACTCTTGCATATGAATAAAGCTGCAAAAACACACACTATTAAATGCTCCCATATACATACAGGATGTCCAATGTGTGATCAAAATAATGCATCCCAACTCCAGCACCTTTAAAAACTGAACTGTATGGACAAATGTGGATAAAAAACAAACAAACAAACAAACAAAAATGTCTACTACTGAAGATATTGTACTGAATATATCATCCTTTTTTGTAATCAGGCTAGAAGTAGAACATTTGGCAGTAATACATTTACATGAACACACAGAATATATGCAGATGTACTAAAATGAAAGAAAAGCCAGTTGGGTTTAGCTCAAGTTTTGTGTGTCACAATAAGTATAAACAGTTTCATTAAAAGCAATATCTCTGCTAATGCAGCAAAACTGCATCTTAAGAGTGAGTGCATGATCAGAATTTATCCAGCAGCATTTAGTTCTTTGCAAACTTTGAATTGAAAAAAACCTCCCAGTGAAATGTCACATCAGGTGATGCCAGTGACACGTCGCTAAAATAGATCAGGAGAAACTCTACGATCTGCACCAAACTGTGACATAAGACAACTGTATACTACATGTCTTCATGCAGTAAACTGTGTTACGCAATTTGATTGTCAACATTCATAAAAAAAACACTCACTTGCATAAGTATGGACCTCATTTTGCTTTTTTTTATTTGCATTATCATACATTAGGTACAAATGACACAATCAATTACGAGGTAAGTAGCTCAGACTCATGTTAAAGGTTTCAGGCTGACAAGGGAAGAAAACAAACGTACACCATTTACAAAATACAATATATTCTTTCTTTTACAGTCTATGTAGATATCTACTGTAAGTCATTTATGTACAAGGACAAGGGGGGTGCAGAGGTTATAAATGAACAAACACAGGAGAGTTACTGTACGGGTTAAGATATAAGGCATTCCTGCACATCACTGATCCTGCGCCCTGTACGGCCAAGAGGATAGCAGTTCACGTCGACTCTCTCGTTCCACAGCGAACAGGACACAGCAAAGAGTAATGACCAACTACAAAGAAGAAAGACGTTACACCATATTCATCTAAAGCAAAGAAAAAAAAACTGTATGAAAAAGAAAAAAAAAACCTCTCTCAAACCCTACATTTACGATTTCATCTTTACAGTATTATCATTATCTGGCCGTCCAAATCAATTAAATTAAAATCGAGAAGGTGAGGACATCAGATAGAATGTAAACAAAGACGACACCAAATTCATTTGGCTAACTCCTTTCCCGTCGTGCGTTATAGGGAGAAATGTAGAAGGTGGTTTCTGTTGAGCGAGAAAACACACGAGAATATCGATGGCTTTCCTGACCTTGAGATTTAAAAAGGGGAAAGGTGGAGGACGCTATCAATAAGGTGATGGATCGACTTGGTCCAGGCACTGAGGAAGGAGATACTGATGGATTGAAAGACGGCGTAGACGAGAGGACGACGGAGGGATGGTTCAATGTGACGAGGCACAGGGGTTGTTATTCAAACAAGCCATAATCAGCTTTCCTGTCAATCTTTTAACTGAACCTAATCCATCACCCGTTCCTTCACTCTCCCCCCCCCCACCGCCCGGTGTCGTCTGACGATACTGTCGATAGATTCAGTAATTAAATCGCCACGTTATTAATAGGCACAGGGAGGTAAAGGTGAAGCAAGCAGACACACACAGATGAATCCAGTTGTACTTTTTTCAGACTCGATCTCAGTCGATTGGTGTAAATCTGTTTAATAGAACTTTTGATATACATTCATGTGAACTGCGAGAGGTGCTAAAACATGGAATAAAATGAAGTAAAAATCGAGTAAATTAACTAGTTTGAAAACTTATTTAAGAACAGAAAACAATGAGTTTAGGGTTTGGACTAAAAATGGAATAGAGAGTTCGGGTCAGAGCGAGGAAGTTGAAAATTAAAAAGAATATGTACAGTGTATCTGTACAAGCTGGGAAAGGCACACAAGGGAAGAGTATTAATCTTTGTTATGCCCACACTGACTGTGACTTGACATCCTGAAAACACAGCAAGTCAACAGAGGGTTCTATTAAAGGGATGGAGCTAGACTATTTAGTCAGCACATACAGAGGTGCGAGATAGGCTTAGACAAAGAGGCAAGACTGTTGGTGAGCAAACTCTGAGTATGTACAAGGAATATTTTCTCTCATTTCTGTGAAATTCACCGCGGATGTTAAATCAAACGCTCCACAAGCTGAAATGTCTTGTTTTTTTTTTCCCCACACACAATTCTGCCCAAGGCTAGAAGAAGCTCTAGTAACGGGAACAGGAAAATCTAATAACGTGCACGGTAAGTTGACTATCAAACTGACAGGTATTGTTAAGTGTACTGACACAATGTGCACTGGTATACTCATGGCAGCATGCTACTAATATGTTATGTGGCCAACAGAGAGTATAGCAGCCTGTACAGGGAGAAGAAGCTGCCGCAGAAAGTCAACCGTGTGACTACAGCTAGTGCAAGGCTGCTATCGTCGGGTTCCGGTATTTTCCAGGTTTGGCACATGCAAAAGGTCATATAAGATAGGAAACATCGTAGGAGAGAGTGCAACTCTTAGAAAAACACGGACAAAATATTACAAACATTTTCCATAGTTCCTATCTATATAGGTCAGATATGCGTCTTCTAATGTGATATATTCTTTGAGACATTCCTGAATTTGTCTTGAGTAGAAGCTAAAGAAAAAAAAAACAAAAACTGACAACACTGACAACAACTGACGACAGCCAAAAAATAAACAGCAAAAGAAAAAAAAAACAAATATACAAACTGACAACAACACAACATTAAGATTATAATATAAACCCCATTGGTGAGACACTGGAGAGCGAGCGGTCCCGCCGGTGTACAGGTCTAACAATTAGCTTCTGAGACACAACTCTACACAGATCTGGAGTCAGTGTTTCACAACCGGGGGGGCCATAAAGTGTACATACAGAGAGCACTGATCTAGAGCCAGTAGCATCTAGGTCTCAGGAAAGAATTGAAAAAGTAGTATGAGTATCTATTTGAATTTATAAGCTGTGATAATATGTCTATTTTGCACTATTCAGCCCCTGGGATCTGCATTCTTTTGGCAGAGTTTGCTTTCACACATTAGCTTTCCAGCCTACACTGTTTCACTGGAACTCAGTCCCAATCTTTAACAGCCTAGCTGGTCTCAGATCAGCACTCTTATAATATCTGACACGTAATGGCCGATTTTAAATCTGGCCAATCTGGATGTATGCTTGCAGTGATACTCCACACTAAATCTTCTGAGCGACATTCACTTCCTGCAAGCTTGATGAAACCGACAATCAAGACCAATGTGGGTTTTGTAAAAACTGTGTGAAGGGCTGAGATGGGAAAAAGTGCAGTTTAGCAAAAAATATAATTTGAAATAAACTGAGCATGCAAGCAGAGAACAAGTGTAGACATTTCTTTTTATATTTTGTTTTCTAGTAGCGGTGAAAAGCTGTCGCTGGAAATCGATGTTAATCAACACGGATTTGAGCTACCCATGGCCACTATTCTGCGAAAGAATAACAAAACAGGTACACCACGAAGGGTGACTCGAAGCTTTACAGACAGATTTTGAGCAGAGTATCACTTTGACGTCGTAACTCTTTGGGGTTTCATACTTTGCAGCATGCAGCATTTAGCGTATTGCGTGCACGAATGATGCCTACCAACAGCATGCAGATACAGAGGGACAGTCAACAGCCAGACACGCATCCAATCAACACACAATTTGCAGTCAGAAATAACTGTTTAAAAAAGAAAAACAAACAAAAAAGATTTGATAAATCTGACAAAACAAGTACGACAGATATTTTTTTTTTCACAACTTGCTAAATCTGGACTCTGATAAAGACATCCAGCTGTTACAAAGTTGATCTGTACTGGGTTATTAGTTGTTTAAGCTTTTTACACATACAAATATTGGCTTATCTAATTAATGTAATAAAAGCACATTCAGGTGTTGGTATAAAAACTGTAACTTGCTATACTCTTTTTTAAATAACTCATGATTATTTACAAAGGAGTTACACTGATTTTCGATACACTAAAATATTAATCTGATCTAATGGAAAAATATGTGTGAGATCACAAAAAGGAGGAGGAGAGTAAAAAGAAATCTTTTTTTTTGTTTTTTTTGAAGAAACAAAACGGGATGCAAAGAATGATTCAACTGATAAAGATTATGTTGATTCCAAATGAAAGACAAGTTTGTTCTCAGGACAAAGCGACGTCAGAAGAAATCATCCTGTTGACACACAAATCAGCGCAAACTGACAAACATATTATATCAACTCTGGAGGGGATGATACTGTATGCAATAAAACATTGCATGGTTAATACACAATGACATCCATTGATACAGTATGTCAGAATGTCTTTAGAGCTTCTGATAAGACATTTACGACCAATGGGGGGGCTTTGTAGCCACGGGTGTACAGTGTAAACTGTTTAGCTTTGATTTCAAGGAAGATATAAGAATGTTTTGAGATCACCCATACACTAAACCGATTCCACTTTTCCGTGTGTCCACATAGTGTCCACTAAATTATTGACAAGTATACAATCTGCAGCTCGATAAGGGCTAAGAAACATGTGTGTGGATGACTAGTTTTTAAAAAATCCAAATCAAACAGGGCGATGACAGTTAAGCCGAGCAAAATTTAGACAAGTTGGAAGTAACGCTTTCATACCTTTGTGTCTCACATATTCACCTTTTTACGGGCTGCATATGTTTTATTACAGAACTGTTCATTCTTGCTACGCGCACTGAAAGTTGAGACTGGCTAGAATCGATAAAATTGAATTATACACCATCAGCATGAAATCGACAGGAAGGGAGCGGGGGGAAAAAAAAAAGCTGTAAACATGATACAGGAAACATTGAACCACGAGGTGCCGTTTCAACGCCTGCATCATCATTCCTTCATATTTGGCTATAGCATCTACACTGCCTTATATGAGTGTTTCTCTGGTTATCACATAATATCTGTAATATGATGATTATCCATATAGATACAACCACCGACTAGATCTGTAGACCATATGTTTTTTTTTATCCATTGAGATTTGTAAGCAGATTCATTCATTCTTTAAATTGTATAATACAGTATACTGGCATAGATAAAGAAAGCCTGGCACCCTTCTGTCTTAGTGCCTCCAGGTTCAGGAAGCACATCCTTTGTCTACAGCGCATGCTTGTCATTAAACTAAAGGGAATTATTTCTGGTGGTAGCCAAGAAACAATCTCATCTATCTGATTCATAATCTATACTGGCAAAAAAAAAATATTGTACAGAGCAAATATGCATGCCTTAGAATCCTGCTTGTGAATAACACCAATACATTAGGACTTATTGTGGGCTTTGATCAAGTTGTATTCAGATGTTAGGTTGGCAGTTGGTTTAAGAGGGTGGCAGTGAGCAGGGAGGGGCTTCACGAAGGTCTTTCCATCCTTCTCATACGCTGTTGGTCAGAGACGGGTGTACAAACTGTGGGTTGACGAAAGAGAAACCTGCAAACTCGGCCTGGTCGATGTTGGCAATGACCAGCTCGTCTGGTGGTGTGAGCTGGGGCTGGGTGCGTGTGAAGAACTTGTCAAAGTTCTCTGCTGCTTTGCCACACTGTAGAAAAGAATAGACAGAGAAAAGGGAGAAGTTTAGATATAAGGTATTTAAAATAACAGGAAGAGAGCAAGCAGACCATTCATAGAGGACAGACATGAAAAATCTGGAGCGCTGGCAGGAATGTGCAAAACCTCTAAAGGCAAGTGTACGGCCATCGCATTCAGCAGAATTTGTCCTTCGTCAACCTCTTGGACATTTTCCACAAATGCGCCCAAAGCACAGGACATACATCATCATAATCAAACACCATTAGTCACTGCTGTTGTCATCTCCATTCATATAACTGGTTAAAATCACACTAAGCTGGCCAACTGGACAGAGAGCATGGACAGGAGAACAACAACATTTGTGACTCTCTCACTTCAACCTGTCGACTAATTAAAATGCAGCTTCATCCCGCTGCCGGCCCACATAGAAATCGACAGTATCTTGCACCTGATCCCCTCGATTTCCCGCTGCTACATGCAGGAGGTTAAAAAAAAAAATCTGATTACATGCTCTACATTTCGTTCACCTGAATCCTAGTGAACCCTTCTGAATGCTGTAACAACACTGGCTCAGCTGTGGAACAGAAATGCACTTCCAAACAAGACAAAGCTCAGAACTGATTCAACGAGGGGGAAATGGTGTCAGGACTTCTGTCATAAGTCAAGCTGTGTTACCACTGACCTCATAACCTGCTGTTATGCAGATCCTTTATTTATTTAGATTGGACATGTACATATTTGACTCTCGACGCTGATTATCTTCCAGGAGAATAAAATCATTCCTCAAATAAGAGTAGCAACAATGTGCAACCAGGTCACGAAAGGGATAACTAGCAAGTTCACGACAGGGAGATGTCAGTATGCACGAGGCAACGTGAACAGTGTTTTCATGTTTCTGTGATGAGAAGATCATCAAATTAAATCATGGGAATGGACCATGTCACATAGTGGACTTCAGAGAATTTCTCAGCAAGAGAAAGCTCTGCATATTTTCCAAATGGTGGTGTGCATTACTTTTGCTGTCGATGTCCCACTTGGCCCAAAAAGAAAAAAAAATCCTACTTGACATGCAAGACCACAACAGCAACAGTTACTGGGCCCCCGTTTTTATTGGTTTAAGTATTACTATGTTAAAGCACATGGCATGAAGTACTAAAGCAGTATTATTTACTGCACACAGCTTTTACTTATGCTTGTGCTCCGTTTCTACTCTCGGTGTAGGTCAGACTGAAGCACAAAGAATTTATGACATGAAGCGAACCCACTTTGAATCACATATGCAACACTTATTCTCTCAGAGGCAGAACACGGGGCAGCATTTAGCATTCTATCTTACTTGTTTTACCAGTAGACGCTCACATTAACCACCAAAAAAAAAACACACTAATCTCTGTTTTCTTGTCTCGGTGACATTTACGAGGTAATTGTGCGACTACAAAACAGCTGTTTTATCTCCTTCCAAACTAATCTAATTTACGGTGTTGCATAATTTCTTGGTGTGATTCTGTGTCTGCCACTCAAACTTATCGGTATCCCTCCAGGATTACCTTTTGTGAGTCATCTGCTCAGAAATATACCCTCTCAAATAAAACTGCCAGCACGCTGTGGTTCTACCTAATTTGCTTTCAAAGGTAAAGACAAAACATGGATAGAAATACAATTTCCTTTGTCATGACTGATGCCAGACTCGACATCCAGCAATAGTCATTCAAAACAAAGCACCAATACTGCATGTTTTGTCAACCTTTTTACACATGTTAGAGCCTCAATGGCGTCAACATAAAAATCTTCAGTTTGTCCTCTGGGCATGATTTGTTAAATCCATAAACTGAATAAAAAAGAAGATGTCGCCTGCAGGTCTGTGAAGACAATGCAAAGTGGCTTAAATGTTTGTGTCTACTGCCAGCAGGGGGCGACACCTCCTACAAAAACAAGTATAAAAATCTATGAGAAAATGTTTCTACATCTCACTTGACTTAACAGTCTTGTAAACATTTTCCTAATGAGTTCGTGGCCTTGACAGCTAGGTTCAAGTGTTCTTCAACACAGCATGGCGTTCATTTAGTAGATGATGGTCCCATTTAGAGCAAAATAGCTGATAAATAAGGATATGCTGCCATATGGGCGTGCATGCTTTCCTCAGGTTCTCAGTCAAATCCACCTCTTATTGCCTGGTTTCAACAACAACAACAACAAAAAAGATGGTGACAGTCAAATTCCGAATGTTTTAAACATTGGGTCCACAAAACAATGGGGGACCTCACTGTGGCTATGTCCATCTTTTATACAGTCGATGATTGACTTAGTGAGTCTCTAACTTAAGGTCTACATCTGGCTAACCTAAGAAAGAGCATGAGACAGCCATCCCCAAAGGTGGAAACAAAATGCTTTCACTTCGTCAGGATTTTGTTTGATGTCCCTTGGCTGGTTTTAGTATTTCTTTCTATTCGATCAAATCACATTGTTAAATCGCTACAGTTCAAAACAAGAAGTTCTTCTCTCTTTTAAAATATTATTCTGTCTTCACTGACAAAGCCGTGAGAGGAAATGAGAGCGAGTATAAAATTCTTCTCCATCCTCATTAACTAGTCCACCTACTCACTGGGCTCACCTACAGGGATGCAAGTATTCACAAACACACACACAATCATACACACAAATACCAGTACCCAATGCACAACTCAATAAGCATTCATGTCCCCTTCAGGAGCTATTTGTCTGCAGCTGGCTGTGAATATAACTGACTCAGTGAAGCCAAACTCCATGAGAGTTGATTTTAAATAGAAAGAAAGGATGATGCCTTAAACTCTGAGGGTTGCTGTGACTGAAAAGGCGTCGGTGTTTCATGTACTATTAACATTCAATACAAACTGCATTGTCTAAAGCTTTCAGGAGAGATGTAGCCTGGAAGGTTAATTTGTTTTAGTGTCAAAGGAATGACAAATTTGGTTCATTTGGATACACTTTTTTCAGCAACAAAGGTGCAACAATAGAATCAAATTGCCAAATTAAATTAGATTACCGTTTTTTCTATCTGTTATTTTTAATTATACCTTAAAGTCTTTGAGTATTAAAGCCTGCTAAACCACTTCAGGATAAGAGTGATTAATTTCTGTTCAGCCCAGCAAAGGCACCTTTAACTAGGTTTAGTCCTGTTTAGTTATTGTTTTTCCACTGCAAAGCAAAGCCCTCTTGTCACCTACTAACTTCACACATCACCGTTACATTTTCAAAACAACCCAGCAGGCAGGAATCTCCCCCATCGCATGCCTTTTCTGGATGATAAGTGCTACTGAACACCAGCGATCGCACATGACCGCTCTTACAGTAGAAACGGTCTGCATGACTGACTCACATAAGCTCAAAACCTGCCTTCCCAGGGGGATTCACAAGCGATCCATACTAGTGATACCGGAAACATGTGCTCAACTACTGTGAAACGCACACTGATCTTTGGATCAAGAAAGAAAAGACCTTTTCTTTTTGTTGAGAGGACGGATGAGAAACAGATTTTCTAGGCCCTGGGTCAGTCGTTACACATCCTCTCTTCTGTGTTTTCAGTCCGTTCCAATCAGTTTAAATTAATAATATTCGGCCAGTTTGAGCCCACAACCAATTGTGACCTTTTGAAACTTTTGATTAACTTATGACTAACTAATCTTATCCGCTGTTGTCCTACATTCCATTTACAGATGAGACATCGTTGTCTGCTGAAGTGTATGTTCTGTATTCGCACGAGCGTCCGTGTGTGAATCAGCCATTGTTTGTACGTTGCGTCAAGGCACGTCCGTCTGTGTTTGTCAAGCAAACACGCTGAGGTATAAAGAAGCAGACATTTCTATTTTTATTGTCTTCTTACTCTCTTATTCGGGGGGACTCCAGACAGAGCATGTCAGGTGATTTAATAGAAGGGAACACACCAGAACATAAAATCACAGATGCTTCTAAGGTGTGTGTGTTTGAGGTTTTTTCGCTGTGACACTTGTCGCTGACAGGTGAGGTACGCTCCGAGCCACTGCTATCCTGTCAGAGCGAATCGAAGGCAAGACGCATGCTTCAACACGGGAAGCAATCGCGGCTCGATGTGCGCGTTTGCGTGCTTTCCTTCACCCCCCCCCGCACGGCAGACACCTGATAGTATTCGCCAGCAACCTTTAACTGCTCCGTCTCCCTGTTCACTTGTCTTCTTCTATCCGTCACTGACCATCCGTCGCTCAAGTGAAGCGACACTTTTTTTTTTAACTCCACCGACAATCTCCAGCACCGAGATGTCCCTTTTTCTCGACGGCAAAACAGTTACTCCTTGTGACATCGGGCCTCTGCTCCCGAGCAATACTCCTACCGGTGTACCAAAAGCATATGCGGGATGAAGCTTCAGCTGCAGAACTGACGGTGGAAATATTTCACAAACACGCTTCATTTATTCTGGTCCATGTCTTTTTTTTTGTTACTAAAAGAATTCCAGACTGTTGTGTTAGCACGTTGTGTTCACCATCAAAGTTGGAAACATCTCTTGGACACATGCAGTAGCATCACACTGCAAATAAAGAACTCTGAACAGACGATTTTGTAAGAGCTGCTCTCGTAAGACAACCGAATCTCCACAGATTAACTCAACAAGAACAAAAGGAGAAAATTAGGTTATGAACTATTGTCTTAGGAAAATCTGCTTTACTGCCTTTTGTGACATATTTCGAGACATCAGCTTGCCCTTTTGGAAAAGCAAAGGGCTGGTCTTACATCTCCTCTTTCTCATTGTGTGATTCAGCCACCCCTTATTGGGTGAAACCAAGGCTATTATGCTGTTGATACATCCTCCCATACACGGTGACACAGTGTCCTACATGGGTTTTTGACCTACTTTCTCTCATCTTTAATCTCGCTCCCTCTCTCTCGCTGCACACATACAGACGTGCACGCCTCTGCACTCAAGCATATTAAAAGAACACTCAGCTACTTAGGATGATAAATGAGTGGCTGCCTCCATTAAGAGTCGTGCCAAGACAGTCTCTCTCTCTCTCTGTCTTTTTCTCTACCTCCCTCTCCCCGATGCCACTAGCCTGGGAAGCTCTCCGTTCTCATCCACTTCCAAAACATTCTACTTTCTTTGCTTGTCAACAATAGTAAACGGCTTACAGAAGGTCATCAATAACTTGAACTTATGAAATTGAGGAAGTCAAGTCTGTCCAGAAATGTATTTCCCGTCTCTGAGAAGCTGCTCTAAAAGGAAAACTTTTCCACTATTTAGTTTGTAAAGTCACTAAATCGGAACGCACAGCTGAACCTCTTGGTTATTGGTGCAGAAAACTGAAATCATAATTGTTTATAACCACCGGTGCTTTGGCAGTGCTTCAGAAAATGTTAATTTGGGGGAAAAAAAATAGCTCAGAAGATCCCTGGTTTTGCTCTAAATAAACTGCAATGACTGATGCACGGGGAAATATTTTCAACGTAATATATATTGGGCTTTTAATACATAAACCCATGTGTCTGTCTCTGTTCAGAAATAAACTACAGATTTTTATGGAAAATGTAATCTTGACCTCAAGTTAGAACAGAAATAAATAGAAAGAAAAGACTACAAACTGACCAAAGATGCTCCCCAATAAGTCTTATAACTGCAACGGGAACGGCATATATGCTTAGTCAAGTTCTAACAGTGCTCGCCTCTCGTTTTCTTACAGCTACAGTGAGTCACAACTCGCGCGTGCGTGTGTCGACGCATCCCATGAGCCATGTGCATCCCTCCCTTGGACACGGTTCCAGGACTTCTGTTCGGTGACTAAGTCCTCCCACTCTTTCTTTGCCCTGGTTCCCTCCTTTCATTCACTATCAATCAGCAGCTTGTTATTTGACCTACTTTTTCCATCCTGCTCCGCTCCCTTCAGGCCATAAAGACTATCGGCCATCCACAAGTGGGCGTAAAACGTGTGGGCATCAAGGGGTTTTGTGCTCTCAAGAAATTAGCCTGATTTCGTACCACATACCATCGCTGTTAGATTTGCGTTGCTGGCATTTTAATTTTCGCATTTGTTCTGTTACACCTGCAGTAGACGTCTGCAGCGGCGCACTACAAATATGGATCAAAACACTAACTGAGCTTGCCCTGACCCTCATTCTCCCGCACAGACTTTGTCCTCGGTGCCGTCTGAAGCCCTGCTCCGATAGATACAGATGGTTTGAGTCTCTCAGCTGGGTGCAGCCAGTGTATTGATTGCAATTCCACAGCTGTCACAGGTGGATGAAGTGAGATTGAACGGCGAAAGATGCACAAGGAGAGAGGAAAAAGAGGAGGACTAGTGGATTAGAGAGGCAGGGATGGACTTAGTGAGGGGTGAGAGGAAGGTGTATGATAGCCATTTAGTGGTAATGGACTCAGAAACAACAATGTAAGACATGGCACCAGTGAGATGGACATGATGGATCATTATGGATCGTGGTTACAGGGAGCAACAATGTTTTAACACTCCCTTTCCATTGCTCTCATCTTTCAACTTAATCATCTACTTTCCAGAACCATGCAAGCATGCACTGTGCAAAGGGCATGCACATTTGCATGCATCCACCCCCCTGCAGCTTCGGCATGGACAAATATGCAAGCACAGACGCCTTGCTTCTTCTCTCCGGTATTGATTACCCTCCCCTACACAGCAACAGACTCTTATGCAGCAGAAAAGACACAGAGACGAGGCGTGGATACAAGGAAAACCTTCCTCCCCTGCTTTTCTCAATCTCTTTTAACCTTCACTTTCTTTGACCTTTCCCTACACACATACATGTACTCACACATACACACACACAAAGCACACACAGCATGTCCAGGACACCCAGCGTATCCACTCAGCGGGAGAGTACATGGACAAAGAGGCCAGGATTCACCTTATTAGAGGAACTGGAGCCCTTGAGGGTTGAAACAGAAGAAAACTACAATATTTAAAATGAAGAAGTAAGGGAGACACACACACATGCACAACACTGAGTGACCTACTTCATCCTCGTTTTGTTTTTTTTTTTTGAAGAAGAAGAATGGCAACCTATAAGTATAAGTATCTTTATGCAAGTGTCTATATGAATAATAATCATAAAATTACATATGGCAGAAGTGTGTGTGCTCAGCATGATCATGTGTAAACTCAAGAGATTTCAAAACTACCCTTTGCTGTGCAGCAAAATGTGTGCTGGATGAGATGCGCCGTTATGATTTTGCTTTAAGATCAGAGGCTTTAAAACTACTTACTGCCCCTATGCAATATGTAACCTACGCCTACAGCGGTGTTTTGAGTTCACAAAAGAGCTTCATGTTCAGGCTGTATTACATATCATGTGGTGGATCACTAGACATCAGAGTGACTTCAGTCTATGTTTAATGTAACAGGTCTATTAATTGTGCAAAGCCAGAAATGAATTTTTTACAGCCAGGACCATAATGTTCTACAGATCTGGGTCTGGTTTTGCAGTCTTTGTGGAAAGATGTAAATCTCTGACACAGATCACTGGATTTTCTGAGATGAATTTCCCGTCGCTGAGTGCTGTAGGGGGTAGTGGATTACTCCAGTGGCATGATTCTCCCTCCTGGTGTCTTACGCTCCTAACATACATTCCTGGCACAGCCAGCCACCCTTAATGGATCCGTTAGAGAAGACTGCAGTCACATTACATCAGCTACCCAACCAGCTAGTCACTGCTGTATAATGAGATCTGCAGTAATAACATAGGTCTGACTGTATTTCAGTAAACCATGTCAGTGTGCCAACAACATACATCTAATACGTGTGTCCTGATAGCTGCAAATGTGTGATGCTTATTGCAGTCAACGTGGAGATATTAAACACTGAAGCCTCATAAAAACCAATGTGTAAGATCTGATTATCTCGTACCGTGTGCAATATCCTGGTACTAGAAAATTAAAGGTTAGGTAATTGCATTACACCACTAATGGAGGAAACTGCTGAAATAAATAAAAGTGTAATAGTCATGTCCCCACATTAATTGTTTTGAAATTCCTGCCTTTGCTCTTTAGTTTTCTTTTTCACGAGAATTTTGGCCTGTTACTGAATTTAAAGTTAATTTTAAATTAATAGAGGCATTTTTTTCAGTACACTTTAGATGATGTTGTTAAAAGAATTTTGGATAGCTGGATGCTAAGGAAGAGTTTCAGAAGACCGGAATCTGTAGACTGTGTGTGAAAGATGGAGGGATGTGAGTGTCCTGTGATTTGCAGTTAATTAGCTTTTTCTGCAATAAATTACATAAATCAATTCAGATTTCACAATGTTTCATAATATGCATACATCCATTTTTTTTCTTCATATTCCGGACATGTGACCATTTTTCTGTCTTTAATAAGAAAGATTTCCTGGAGTGAGTTGTAAGTTCATTAAAAAAGATAATGATAAAACCCTTAGGAAAGCAACCCTATTGTGTGGGTTGTATAGATAACAATTATCTGTAAACATGTGTGTTGGGGGTTGGGGTCCACGGAAACATCGGAGCGTTTCGGATTTACTTGGTAGTCAAACCAAGAAAATGAACTTGAGTAACTGAGCCATTTATATGGCAAAGGAAAAAAAAGGGTGTTTAACATTTTATACTTGCTAATACTTGTGTCTGAATTATGCAAAACCTGAACATTACTGACTAATTAGATTATACATTGAATACTTGATATGTATAGTGTGTGTTCAAAGTTGTTTCTAATCTGTAAATAGAAACACAAAGAGCAACCTGTCAGTAAAATTAAGTTAATTAGGAATCATTTAGAAGCATTGCTGCACTTAAGCACAATAGCCAGAGATGTCGTAACTTTTCCTTTTGCACGTGTGTCTTACAAAGTAACAGAGAAGACCACAAAGCCCCCAAGGAAGAAGAGAACACAGCAGAGAGGCATATCAGATTTATCTTGTAGTGACGAGCACATCTGTTCTCTTCAGATAAATCAGAAGGTCGTCTATGTTTACTTATCTTTTTTTTTTAGGTGTATTGTGTTTGCATGTGCACGACGCTCTGAGGGTTGATCATATGTAGTAATTGTTCATCCGTCATTACCCTCCGTTAATGAGCGGTAAAAGTAGAATGTATATATGCACGCATGTCCACAGTCACGAGAACAGATGGCTTTTCCTGACCTGTAATATGCATTTAACATTTGGTCAGTTTTGAGGGAAAACGTTTGATTTATGACTGTAGGGGAGTCTGTTGGAATGGAAAAAACGGTGCTGCTCTTCCAGTTTAAGGTTTTAAATAATGGGCAGGTGAGTAAAACTTCATAAAGCCAAATAAAAAACATCTGGAATAATGTTAATGAGGTGAAGGGAAAGTGGTTTGCATCAGGGTGTGTGGTGCAAACTGCAGTCGAGCGTGCTGTTGCAGCGAATGAGTGTGGCTGGTGACCATATCTAGTAGCCAGGATTCCCTCCAGATTTCCAGAAAATTAGCAAAAGAAGATGCAAAATAATGTGTGCTGCTATGTAAATACTGTCACTTAGATAAACATGGTGGCACCAAGTCTCCGGGCTGGTTCCACTAAACCGCTGCAGAAGAAGACAGCACATTGAGATCACATGTTTAAAAGAACACCAGGAAACTTAGAATGATGGAGTGAGGAGTAGCAGGTGTAGTGGTTGTTTCATGATGTTTCCAATGCACTTTATCACACCTGATTTTCATCAATACATAGCTGAACATTAAGTTTTCTAGAATGAAAATGCCCACTTAGATTATCTCCAGATGTGATGCAGGGCAAGTCAGTGCAATACGTCTGAAATGTGTCTGTTTGGTGGCTCTATGCTGCACCATATGTAAACTGAGCCTATGACAGGAACAGGCAAGTGTTATCAACCTTATTCAAATGAAGGTTAAGCCTACACTGGGGAGGTCACCGATTGTTTTAACCTTAATTACAAATATTACACTGGCTAGAAAATGAATCCTAAGCGTGTGTGTGCACAGGACGTACCACTTTAGGCTTGAAGGGTGGTTGTATCTCCCTGTTCTGGAGGCGATCCCAATCGATACGTCTGAAAAAGGCGTGCTCTCTGATGTCCCTCTCTCCCTCGGGGCCGCAGCCCAGACGCTTGGATGGGTGTTTGGTCATCAACTGCTCATGGAGGAAAAACAACGGAGGGAGAACAGAGTTAGAACTAAAACAAAGACATCATTCTGAATCCCAAGATCAGATGCCATTTAGTGTTCTTGGCAACAGTTTAGACTTTGGTACAGTCTAAAATAAATAAAAAAGCATATGAAACAAAACAAAAACATATTTTTCTTTCAGTTTCTTAAGTAAATTGGGAGCATTTTAATTTTAAAAACATTTCAAGTTTGAAATCCGTGGCCCATCTGGACATTTATTTCCCTGCTCTGTCTTTTTCTACCGATACAATTTAATCAAAACAAAACTGCAAAACACAGAAAAAGCAATGAACATTAGCGTTTGGTTTTCATCTCTCTCTCAAAAGCGATAAGTGTTAGTGCATCCGGAAAACTCCCACTTTGTTTTTCTCCCGCTTCCCTGTTCTTTCGCTGATGTGTTGTGTAATATGATTTCACCTCTTTTCTAGGTCAGCAAATGACAGCTAAACAGATGGGTCTGAAAAAGAGTGATATAATTGTTTTTGTTTTTTTTTTTCTCCTCCCTCTCCCTCTGCTTCTTCTTGCCTTTAGAGAACGGCTGCCACTTCCAATCGCACCACAAGCAACATGAGGACACAGTCAGCACTTTGTTAAAAAGCAAAACAAGATTTAAGCACCCACAGGAAACACAAGCAACAACAAAAATCTGTCCTTGTTGCATTAAGAATGAAGCAAACATAATTGCTCAGCTAATGTGTTAAAAATTACTTCAATGTTTGTTGAGCTTTCAGTCGGAGAATATTTATATTCTTGCTTCTTGCACAAACAGAACACAAGTTGTCCAAAATTTGAAATGCAGGACAGCAACGCATTCTCTTCTTCTTCTTTTTTTTTTTTTTTTACTACTTTTCACATTAATATTTTGCTTTAACTTCCTCGGTGCAGTGATTCGTCTGGACTGAATTGCAAAAAGAAGACGCTCCTTTGGAGATGGATGAGGAACCTGGTTGGCTTCAGCACTGACAGTCCAAGGACATAATTACTTATTCATGTACTGTTTGACGGAGCCGGTGCTTAAATGCTTAAATAGTCTGGCTTCCTGGCTCTGGTATTGTGTGAACGGTGCACTTTGGAAGTGGTGAGAGTACACATATGCATGCATACACACACACATGAAAGCACGAAACACTGCAGCGAAATCCCTAATCGGTGATGCAAACCTTCACATGCAGCTCAGTCACCTTGACACTTCTCAGAGAGTAAATACATGTGTGGCAGTAACGCCTGAAGTGTTTAGTGCTCTTACAGTACTCAGTGTTAAAGTATCTTCCTACAGTCATGGACCAGAGAGACAAACTGTAAAACATGAAGGCTTTCTGTTTTTAACTGTACATTTTTTAACAATTTACATTTCACAGATTACCTTAATTTTGTTAAATTACTGGTAATAAGTTGAAGAAAAAAAACATGACTGTACAAATTAACAGTGAAACAAACAAGAAAACAAAAACAGACCAAAACTGAAAATACACCGGCATCAAAAATCTGTATTTTTAAAAATGTTATTTTGCTCTTCGTATGTAACATTACACTTACAATAAGCAAAAGAAATCTTCATTTTACAGAGATTTAACTTTTTTATTTTTTTTTAAAGGGACTTAAAAAATATGTGTCCTGTTTTGTTAAATTACAGATAACATCTAGTAAAACATAGAAAAAAAAGTATTTATTTACACGTTCAAAGACAAATATTTGATTGTAAAATTACAATATTTTTACCGTATTTAAGTCAGCAAAAATATCATCATTTAAAGATGCTGACTATCATTTGTGCTGCTTTTTTTTGGTATTCCATAAATTCCATTGTATTTTTAAGGTATTTTTTCTGGTACCTGTGCCGCCAGATTTTCAGGATTTTTCTTTCTTGGATGTTTTTTTTTTTACAGTGCACATTGTCAGTCAGAATTCACTACTAAACATTACACTGCCAGGTCTCTTTGATACGTTGTTTTAACATATCTGCAACTACAAAGTCATCTTTATGGTTAAAATATATGGAAAACCTCTCAAACATATGCTTCGAAGATCAATGCACACCTTGTCGAAATCAGTATTGAACTGCCAGACAGCAGGGAAAGTATGTTGAGTCATGTAAAATGAAATCATGACCTAAAACCTAAGATCTCAAAAAACTACTGACAAAAAAAGCAGCTGTATGACTGTTAATGGACATATTTAGAGAGGTCCACTCTTAAACATACACAATAATTTACTGACACAAATCACCAACATACAAAGACATATTTCATGTTTAAATGCTTTAATAAATATAAACAGCCCCATCGAGTGACTCTATTGGACCGTCTCTCTTTCATATGTTGCATAAATGCTTTTTTCAGCAGTTTGGGACTCGACTTTCCTCGATGGACGACTGGCGATCGAGTGTTGCCCTTGTTGACTTTGAAAATGTCCTCTGAGTAGCTTCGTCCAACAAAGAGCAAACCGGGGGAAGTTAAATTCAGTGAGTCAGTTGTTGTCCACCTGCTGCTTGGCTTCATTCTCTGTCACACTCCCTCCCTCATTAGAACGGCTCTGCTAAACTTATATAGATTGACCAAACAGAAATCGGTGCATTCAGCTAATGCATGGGATGTTTAGTGCATTCATTCAGGAATATATGTACACATGCTATATTGAATGAATCCATATGTGGATTCTACACAATCAGATTGTTCCCTTGAACAACTGTAACTATTGATTATTAGATTGGTAAACACATGGTGACAGGTTGTGGCCAATTAAACTCATGTCAGTGAGAATAATGTGCATGCAGATGTTTTTTTGTTTTTTTAAATTGCAGCTTTAATAGGTGCCATTGTAGAACAATTATATGACCTTGCAGTGCCGGATTTATTTGTTGTTCAAATTCTAACTTGCAGGATTTTTGCAGGCCAGTTTTCCTGCTGCAGCCTCAACACACAGGCTGTGAGCTCTGCGACATCTAGAACTCGTGCATTCAGCCAGCAGAGTGCATCGGACAGCTGTTGACGAGGAAGAAAAAAGTCATTTGCAGCTTTCTGTCTGTTTACAGGACTGACAGTGACAGCGAGAAAGCACCCCGCTGCAAACGCACGGCTGTCACCATTAAGATGACACACCTCGCACCTTGAAAAGCCCTTGAAACTGAGCGACTGCTGGCCTGCCACGGTGTCAAACACTTGCACTTGTTTTGAAACTTGAGCACTGGAATTACTTTGCATAATGACGTAGAACCCTCCCCCCACCAGAAAACAGCAAATCTAGCGTCGGCATTTCATAGCGGATATTTGATCATCCTGGCTGTCAACACTCAAAAACTTCATGGGCTCCTCCACATCATGACCTGTCAGCTAGCAGTTTAGTCACATGTCTTCAGAAAGTTTTACGTAACTCTGAAGCCACCCTGCTTTTTTTTCCGCTGCGAACGCAAAATCACAAGATGTGACGGGACAGGAGGCAGGAGAGAGTGAGAGTTGGGAGGACAGACAAGAAAAGGAGGATTAGAAGAGAAAGCAGATGGGATCTCTGACCTGGCAGGGAATGTGGCTAAGATGTAACGGTGTGATTCAGTATTTGAAGGTTTTCAAAACACACACACACACTATCCTGAGCAGCAGCCTTTTAAAACCAATTAGCTTGCTGTAGCTGATCAAAGGCTTATTGTGGCTAGCTCCATCCCAACAACAGATCTTACAATAGTGGCATAAATCTACTCAAATTAAAGCTGAGACCTGGCACTTTAATCTGATATTATCGGCGTGGCACAGATATACCTGCATCGGTTGATCGATATGAAGCAACATGAATCCTGGTTTGTATATTCTTTACAAAACTGTCTGCAGCACATGTAGCAGAGTGTGACACGCAGAAAGATTCCGGTGCCCCCACCTGGACGCAAACCGGCAACCTTCTTGCTGCGAGGCAACAGCGCTACCAAGTGCGCCACCCTGCAGCCCCCACTACATAGTGTGTGTCCTTTATAGTTACTCCTGTCCTCTATTACCACAGTATTCTATATTAGCATCTACCAATTAGCTGATTTAATTGGCTAACACGGTTTGCATCAACATTAATCCCGATATGTACAGAATATAATGCAAAAATAAATGCTTGGAGTAATTTAAAAATGGTATCATCATACATGTTGTTAAGCAGAATACCCCTGTCTCCATTCTTTATGATATCTCAGCTCTTTTTGCAGCACATGTAGCAAAGCATGCATCACAGATGGTTGTGTGGAGTCAAGTGCTGTCTTCATGGTGAGCCTAGATTTACTTTTTTTTTAAATACACTACTGGGAAGTTAATAAACAATGATCCCATTATTTTCTATTCTCAGTATTATCCCAACAGACTGTACATGTATATAAAGAACATCAGCCGATATAGTGATTCAGAATTTTGAAGCACAATAAAATCGACCAAATACTTGTGTATTGGGCTGTAGATGAATATGATCTATTAAAATGTAATAGATTGTACAGGACACAGTACATTAGGTTGTCAAGAATCTTTACAAAAATCCACAAGTATTGTAAAATACAGTTTATAGTGAATTTGCATACAACAGATCAACACCACACAGTATATGGCCCTTTTAGTGACTCTTATCCTCTATTATCATTCCTTGCCTCGTTAGCATCAGCTTTCTGTCGATCAGTTCTTGTCTCCAGCATCACCTGTCCTGAATATTTTCCTCCTCTTCCTACCTATGTCCACTTCCCTCTAACCACTCATTCTTCTATTTTTTCTTTCTTTCTTTCAATCGTTTCTCTCTCTTTTGTGGGTCAGGCTGCTGGCAAGCACTATGTATCCATTAAGAGGCAGCGCAGCAGCCAAACAAGGCTCGAGACAGCGAGCTGGGCCGAGTCCAGGACACACACACAGTCATGTTTCATTACTTCAGAGGACATTATATTGACTTACCCTAAACTGAACCATGGACACTACTTGTCTAACCCTAACCCGTGTGCTACCCTTAAATCATGTCCTCACCATATAATGTAATAATTCATACTATGGGGGATGTTATTTTGTCCCAAAAAATGGAGTCAAGTGCCAAAACAGAGTTATGTCCTCACAGCACGAGTATTAAAAAGCACACACACTCACATGCACACACAGCGAAGAAAAATAAAGGGAAAAGGTAATAGGAGGACAAAGAGAAAGAAGCGAAGCTGAGGAAGGGACAGGGAGACAAAGCGCATTATTTCACAGCTCATTGACTTTGCACAGCCTCTGGACAGAAATAAAACTGCCACTTTTACTATTAAACTCCTTGTATGCACACAAATACACGCGTGTGCTTTTCTGTGCTTCTTGAAAACATTCCTGAACATATTTGTATATGTGTGTGTATAATGTCATTGGTTAAGTCAACAGTACCGCTACCCACAAGTGGACCTGGAATCGGGTTTTCTGCTGCTGTCAATATAAACAGCATGAGGAGCGAGTATAAAGTACTTCTCATCCCTTTTTACTGACCTCATGAACCTCATGTCATCAGTGATTGTGACTCCATGGACAGCTGTCAAAAGCCATCCACGTCTAACATACATCAGATCCGGTTAACCTCAAGACGAACATATAATGACACACCAATCTTTCGTCTGAGGAGCGCATTCAGTGTGCCAATGAAGGTCACAGAAGCCTGAAGGGCGAATAAGTGAGCATATGGACCAATCCTAAACGCCGTTTGCCTCGTGGACGATTATGTGAAGCGGTAAAGTGGAGCATCCATTAGTGAATCCATTAGGTAAGCGTCCTAAAACAGCACACAAAGCTCTTCCATTTGCATTCAAAACATTCTGTTGTAACCATAAAATGAGACGCACTGTAACTATGCTGCAGCGTTCGCCTGCTTGACTTGCGCTGACCCACTGTACTGTGCAGCTATCCTCTATCTGCTGCCAGTCCTTGTTAACACATCTAGACTCCAGTTTCCAAACCAAACAACGATACATGCAGTGAGTAAGTCCACAGAAAGGTTTCGCTGTAAAATTATTTCAAGATGTGTGAATAAACTCAGTAGAAAACAAAAGAGTTGGAGAGGAGGAGTGAAAAGTGTAACACATTCTTTATCCAAAAGAGCAAACCAATCTGTCTCAGTGATCATATCAATTGTGGAAGATTAGTATTTATTTATTTTTAATTAGCGGTGAGAAGGCTTGATCCGAATTAAGCTCACTCCTTGAGTATTTATATCTGGTTTAAATATTTAGAAGCACATCAGAGTGTAAAGTTTGCACCCGTTAGTGTTTGATGTATCAGCGCCTTTTCCTGCTGCACGCAAATCTTGATTGTTTGTAAATGGGAAAGGTATCTACTCTCTTTTAAAATTGATGAGACAAAAAGGGCAGCTGAATAATTTACATGACAGATGAACTTGCTTGAGACAGGTTTGCTTTTGACAGGCCACTTTTTTAAAATGGAAAAAAAAAAAAAAAGTGGAAATGTGCTTTAAAGGTCCAGCTTTCTGTTGGGAATGTTGGCCTTAGTAGCATGTGAGTGTATCACATGCTGTATGAATGTGTGCTGTAATTTCACTCTGGTTGTCAGTTGCTCAAATCTGCATTTGCCCAAAGACCACAGGATGATAATATTTACTTTACAGACATTTTTTAAAGTCAGAAGTCCAACACTTTTGCTAAATGCTCTATCTTTATCTTCTATGCAGCTAAAATATTTTAGGCAAATGGAGATACAAGCTTTTAAAAATGGAGACATTGCATTTGAAGTCTTTAAAGCACCAGACTCATGTAGGAGCTAATACTTGCTGTGTCAGTCACACTTGTAAGGAGTATACTGGATGACCCAATAGATCTTGTAATAGATTAATGACTTATACACAGGGACTGAGTGGGAAGCCTGAGCAAGAACTTCTACATCAGTTTCCAGATAGCATTTTAAAAAAAGTACAAAAAAAACTCTACACTTCCACCTGCCTGCAAATTGAGTGGAACTTCTCATCTAATGCCGGAAAGCTAAGAAAAGCTTTTCACCAGTCTGTGGTGCAGCCTGTCAGTTCTTCTCCCTGAAGTTTAACTAGCAGGAAGGGCTTGTAGCTCTCTTACATGGAGCTCAATTACTCTGGCTTCAGTGAAGAGCATGAAAGATACAGAGCTTAAAATGCTGATTTACAGTTTTTTTTTTTAACCCAGGTGGGAAAGGTTTCCGAGGAGGAACATTCCTGGTTAAACAGGAGAATAGACTGAGGAAGCAGGTTTCATGTTGGATGGTTTACCTGGATTGATCTGAATGTGTTTTAGAATATAAAATAAAAAAGATGTAAAGAAGCTGCTCTACTGACTTCAGGTACAATGTTTGCATTTTATGATGACCAATAAAATTCAACGCCTCCATCTGTTTTCTGTGAGTGAATTTTGCTTGACAGTGATATATAATAGCAAAGTATATTTCATTCAAAACATCCAGCACTCACCCCTTTGCAGATGGACACAGCTTCTTTGGACAGGGACTTGGGGTAGGACACATTGTGCTCCATGATAGACTGGAACAGCTCATCTTCATCCTCACCATCGAATGGAGGCTGTGGGCGGAAGGATACAACATTTCTTGTGTAATGAGCCCAAAAGAAGTCATTGAAAACATTAAAGGCTGTGAAAGGGGAGTTTAAAACAATAGTGGAGAACAAGTTTCACAGAGAAGACCTTGCAGGCCAAATGAAGTGGATGACCCAGCTTTTTTTTCCCCCCTTCTCACGAGGTCGTTATCATCAGTAACCATAATGTGGGTGTTTTGACAGTCCATAAAATGAATTATTCGTCATTTCCACTCCACTGGCCCCTTCGACTAGAGGTAGCCTGTGTGCGTCATGCCCCCTTTACCTGATTTCACACAAGGCAGACGGAAACCGAGGATGGGAACATCTTAATAGGTAAAACCTTTGTTAATTGTTTAACAGTCGACGCCTTCTGTCGACTTTAAACTACACCCATCGTCCTGTTTTGCTCTGAAAGAGGGAACTTTTGCATTTGCCTACTTACTGTTGGCCTTTTGAAATGGGGGTCACATCTTAATCAAGTCATAAATATCTTAATAAGTCACTTAGTGCTGAGGTTTTGAGGCATGTTTTATTAAAACTTGCAACTCTTTCGATGAAATTAGATCTTTCTAAACCTTTTCAAATGAGGACATCTTTAAGGAACTCTGTGGAGAGAAGTTACAGTACTTTAATTTCAGATTGTGCAAAACATATCCATGAAGCCATCACATTGCACCACGAAGAACTTCTTCAGCTTCAAGCCAGTTCTGTGTTGGATAAAAAACTGTAAAATAAAGCTTCCTAAACAAGTCAGTGGCAACAAAAAGACAAAAATGTGGTAGATGTTCAATGCAAATACAAAGTTACTGGCTCAGATGGAACAGCAAGGTGCACCTCCTCAGGAACCTCTTCTTCTCACGACTAGTGATATTTTCTCTCCAAAAGAAGCACTTCTTCTTTGCCAGCCAACAGATTATTGATATGTTCACTTGAACAGCTCAGAATGTTATTTAGATTATTGACCTTGCGTTCCCTGAAAGCACCACCATGCCGCATCCAGGAATAAACCAAGAAACTGTGGAAAAAGTCGGTTTTCCAGGTAGCAAAACAAAGCTGAGAATAGCTGTGTAAACATTTTAATTTGCACAAATGTGAAAAGCATGTTGTCTGAGGAGCTCAAAACAAACTACAATCGCAGTAGCTGCCACTCAAAAGGTTTTTCTGTATTTTTTTTATTGCATTTGAGTGCAGCCTGGAGCACACATATTATCAGGGAAATCCACAGTGCCGATGCATAGTTAGTAAATTAACGCTGACGTTCTCAAACATTTATGCATCTTTAACCGCCTGATTAATGATTTACTTCATGAAGACTTGTTTCATTGCCCACAAAATGGAGGCAAGTCACCATAACATGACAGTGTAAACAGATTCATGTCACCACAACATGAGTAATACGAGTACAGACAAATAAACACACACACAAAACACATTAGTCAAATCTGAGTCAAAAGTGAACTACGTTAAAAGGGTTCCAGTGAGAGGTTACTCAGCCCTTATAACACGAGCTAAACAGCAGTTTAGCGCATATGTGGCAGCGTTTCTTTATTATTAGAGCTGGTGGGAAGGTCTTTAGGAAGCACCACCTGAGTACATTTTGGGCCTCAGCGGAGCGTAGCCGCTTGGGGGACTCGCATGTGGGAAAAACGTAGGTGTGAGCAACCTGTGAGTAAAGTTGTCTGCATAATCTCTAGCAGGCAATTACATAAGAAGCACCATTGTGTGGGCGTGTTTTGTGGGTTTGTGCTACTCACCTGTCCTGCCAGCATTTCATATAGCAGAACTCCATATGCCCACCAGTCTACAGAGCGTCCGTACGGCTGATATGCGATGATCTGTGGAGGAAGGAAGAGACAGACTTCATCAGTTCGGCTCGGTTCGACTCAAAAAGCTAATCCTGTGTCGGATAATAAGGCGACACAGCCTGCAGGCAGATGTGGGCCAATTGATTTTTCTTACCAAAGATCGGATTTGTGAACTTAGCCAGAAGTTTGGTTAAGTCCAACCTAAAGGCTCAAAAATGACCTGAAATTCATCAAGTGCAGTAAATACTTCACCACGTTTTGCTCATAGACTGTAATCAACGTTTTATCATTCATTATTTCACACATTTTAAGTGTTTTACTGCTCCCATTTTGGTAGACTATTCGTAAAGCTACACAAGAAAACTGCTTGTTGACAGTAAGCAGAATATCACGGATCCACACTAGACCGAGGCATACATGTGATCTCTCTGGACCTACGCTAGACACCGTATATTAAATATGCAGCTAGTCACAGATTCTTTAAATATTTCAGAACATGATTCATCCATTACAAGTTTAACCACTTATATATTCTGGTTCCTCCATCTGCATTGAAAGTACCTACAGTATGATTAGATCACAAAGATATTCTTCATTCATAATGCAGACACCTCAGCTGGGAAATTTTCTCATATATGACAACCTTTACCTTAGTATATTCTAATTAGATTTGTAAGCAGGACTTTTCATGGTTGTATATTTTATATACAGACTGTTGGTTCATGACTATTCTATTTTAGCAGCTCTGATTTGCCAAATGAATCAGTTCCAATCAAAATCTGCACACAAATATCCTTCATGACAAGCTGACTAGTAAACGAACAGAAGAAATTTAAGCCAACTTTATCTTAATATACTACAGACGCATATATTAGACGTCTGACAGCAGCCTTGAAAATCCCGTTTAATACTTTAAAAACTGACGGACAACTTGCTTGCTTTTCTCTTCACACAGTGACAATACTCAGACAAGGCATAAAGTCTAAAGCTTGGGGGGGGGGAGGGTGTGACCACGGCTGTGACGAGCTATGAAAGCTGGATGATCCCCGAATCACCTACATTTTAAATCACCTGCAACAATCTAATTTATTTTTTGCCATGCTTGAACAAAGAAGATAGGAAGCTCAGAGTTTCTGACAGAAAAGGAGCGTTTGGTGTGTGGGAAGGGAGCAGATAACAAATCACAGAACAGAGTCTCCGTATATCATTTTACACGAGACGAGCTCAGAGCTACAATAACAAAATGGTGCGGCTGCAGCTGAAGCTGGAAAAACACAGATGACATAGTTCTAAAAGCAAAGTTCAAGACAGGAGCAACAACTTTTACCAATAAGTGATTTTAAACTGTTGTTTAAATTGTTGATGTGATTGAAAAATGTATATGTAATTTGAGCAGATGGCAAAATTATATTTGCATGGTTTTCATATTCAGTATCATAGCGGTTGTTTTTTGTTTTTTTTTAAGTTATTTTTTTGGCCTGTTTGCCTTTATTGGATAGGACAGTTGAAAGAGAAACAGGAAAGTGGGGTAAAAGAATGGGGGAAGGGGTTGCAGCAAAGGGCCATGAGCGGGATTTGAACCCATGGCCGCTGCATCAGAGACTAATACCCCCGTACATGGGTCACCAGCTCAACCAGGTGAGTTATAGCAGCGGCCCAATAACATGGCGTTTAACAACATTTTGTCTGCTGAAAAGGTTTAGTGGTCACTACCAAAATAAAAGTTCCAATATTTAATTACGAAAGTCTATTACAAGGCGAGTCAACGACATCCAAAACAACTAAATGGCAAAAGTCAAACTTCACTTTTACTGATGATAACGACAATGGGTGTTACATTCAAAGGCAATGAGAGAAAGAACCTTAAAAGGCACTGGTGGTGTAAAAGAGCGTATATATAACCTCAGAGGACGCCCCTCTCAACTGTGACATTCTCTCTAACTGCAGAATGATTTTCTGTGGATTACACTGACATTGGCCGAGAATAGGAGCTTCACCCGTTCTGACCGTATTCACACATATTTACACTTCACACCTCCGCTTACACGTCCAACCATTGCTAGAGAGCACCGCCAAAATAACAGCAGCTGATGCAGCCATGTGCACAGACACAATTCAGGCTTACACACAATGAGGACGATACGAGCACGTCGTCGCTATCGGCTTTAAAATGAAATATCGGCATCGGCCCAAAAATGAACATTGACAGACAGACAAGACGACGCTGTCTAGCGCTGTGTCCTCAGAACAAGAGTGCAGTGAGTTAAAAGAGATTACATTTGTTTACTTGTTTTGAAACTTGCGCAGTTGGTCGGCAATGCCCTAGTTGTGGCTAATGGCAGGACTGGGTCAGAGAGGGCATCGTCCCAGTCTGTCAAATTAGGATGAAGTTTACAGTTTTTTTCCCAAAATGTTACATAAATTAAATATGGCATGTCTAGATGGAAGTTGAAGTAGTGCTTTTATTTCGTAAATATGTACATTTGCAAGCATTGTGGCTGCATCTGCATCATCTAGATTAGACTTAAGTGATAGTGGCACTGGAGGAAATACAAGAAGAGTGAGTAGCAGCTTGGTGTTTTCTGCAACAGCTGGAAAAAATATATGCACAATGAGTTCGAAAATCTAGTATCGTGCATCCCCAACACACACACACACACACACACACACACACACACACACACACACGAGACATACAGGACAATATGGTGACCAACACACAAACAACCTTAGGTGTGTAACATCAGAACTGTCATACATCGCTTTGGGTCCCTTTCTGAGTAACATTAGACCTCTGCTGCACACATGCAGCCCTGAGACCCTCCTCCAGCTCAGTAACACACACATATACACAAACAAGCACGGACAGCGTACTGTAAACTCACATGTAGCTGCACAATATATGCATGTGCACACATGAATAAAAAGCATAAACAGCCATTTGCTTAGATGTGTGGAAGCAGATTGTACCACAACCTTCACTTGCGTCACACCTGACCTCTGCATCTCCCACGGGAGTCCACAAGCGCACACACAAACACGCACACAGGTGGACGAACACGCTCGGAGCTCTGCACTGCGCTGTCACTACGCTGTCCTGGAGGCTGATGGGAGTCAGCTGGGCACGCAGTGTAGCCACATGTTTACCCTCATGCCAGAGACAAGCATGTGTGCAACCTTGCCTGCACATATGTGTGTTTGAATGTCACTATAAGGGTTGTAGTCGCAGAAAGCGTTTATACGGCACAGGCTCGATGCAGTGGGTTATGTGGCTTCATCGGTCGTCTTCAGGGTGTCATTTTTGTCTGGTATTTTCAGTGTTCAAAGGAGTGTTTTTTGCTCTTCTCTATGAAAACAGGACAAGCATTGAAAGAAGTACAGAGAACTAAAAAAAAGTCTTTTGTGTAGTATAACAAATGTATAATGCCATAAATTACAAAGATGAAAACATATGTCTAAGTTCTTTAAATCTATCTAATCTTTCATAAAAATAGAGAAAAAAAAACCCAATATCAATATGTAAATTCTTCCAAGTCACCAAAGTTGTTACTAATATTGAAAATGTGTGACTCTACATACCAAAGATATTTTACTGCTTATATTCTAATCTGTTTTCATACCTGTTTCCCATCTGCTCTATATAAGCACAGCCTGCAGTTCAGCCCAAGAACCCTGAAATGAAAACGGCTTCACAGAAATGATTGGGTTTTTTTTGTTGTTATTTTACAGAACGTAGTTTATGCAAAAGGTTGATGTTGGTAAATTTTAAATGAGATATGTAGAATAAAGTATTTTTGATGGTAAATCTTGATTTAAAGCTGAGTTTTTAATAACTTCCTTTCTCCTCGGAAACTTAAAAATCTGATGATTCTTCCTGTTTTTACAGTTTCTGGCTCACAACAGTTAAATGATGATACGGTTTTTATTAAGATAATGTGCTTTTCAAACCTGCTGGCAGGTTTTGGGGTTAAGAGTGTCAACAGTTAACAACAAAACGCATATCTACAAGGCAGTCATGTAATTATTTTTCCATGGTCTTTAACTATGTGGAAGCCTCTTATCGCGACGCCTCTATCCTTGACTCTGACCGACATGTTTCCTGAACTTGACATGGTCAGCTACATGTAAACAACATACAGACCTTGCATAACCTTTCACACGGTCACCTTATGCTTAAAACCCCCTCTCGCAAACGCCAGAGTCGTCACAGCTCTGCAGACCACAAAGATGAGGGCTGTTCTACTCATCCTGCTTGGCTGCTGCCTGTCTGAGGCAAACGTCCCGGGACAGAGGTTGACTGCTATCACATATGCTCAAGATGAGCTGCCCGCTGAAGCAGATAGCTTCACTTTGCTCAGAGAGATGATAGCTGTTTTGGATGAACAGAGAAATGAGCTGCGACACGCCAAAGAGCAACTGGTACAGCTTCAGAAAGTGCAGGGTACGTGTGGAGCGGAAATTAAAGACGCTGCAGCTTTTGCGTTGCATCGAAAATATTGTTTTGATGCTTCAGGGTCACTCGTGCTGAATTTGTGTGATTCCCCGTGCAGGGCAGACATTCATTAACAGTCCGATGGAGGAAATTTGGAAACAGCTGGATGCACTAAAGAAAGGCTACACAGGTACATCTGGATAGAATGAACATGAAAACATCACTACACTGTGTATTTACACAGTATATACATACAATTATGATGGATTCCTTCATTTGTTAACCTCATCGATAATTAATTCACTCCTAGTTTAGTGTGTTGCCTCAGTTTCTGATATTTCAGTGCACTTTCTATCACTACCTGTGTGTTTGAGATGATATTTTTTTCTGCTGTTTTTCTAAGACCATGAGGCCAGACTAAGAATCAGTGAGCTGCAGGAAGAGGAGCAGAGGAAGCAGGTGCAGCAAGTCGTGCGGCAATATACAGGTAACATACATTTACCCACAAAACCAAAATAAAACACCATCCAATCAAAAATGGGACACTTGTTATTAAAGAAGCAAGATCTTGCCACTGCAGAAGTACAGCCAACCAACC